CTGCCTTATTTTTGCTTGGGAAATGGACATCCAGAGCTCAAATCGAGACACAGAAGCCGGCTATTCGTTGTTGGTAGTCTCTGACCAAAATAGAGGCTCTCATCGCCCCAGGATATCCTCAAACTGTGCAAAAGACTCTCTGACTGACATGTCAGGGCCCGGTCCTGCAGACCGGATCCGTGTTGTGACCTACAGCGAACCCTTTCTACCTTCCGATCAAGCACTTGATCGAAAGCCCCTCCGCGGGCCCCATCGAACACTACCAGGCTGATTCTGGGCTCCTTGCCATACATGGTTCTTGTTATGCGCTGTGGTCTCCAGATCGATACTGATTGGCCAGATCGATCTCTTCACTGTCCCGGGGGTCCCGACCGATGTAAATCATGGGCCCCAGCCCTGTCTCTGCCTACGAAATGGGCGCTAATCCAAGACCTGACGCTCAAGGAATCCGGTCGTGAATCCATACACGTCACGGTCGTCGGGCCCTGACCGCAGGGGTGTAGTTTCACAAAGCAGGCTGGGGGACTGAGCGGGCAAGCCCTAGCTTTAACTATACTGAAATTAGATTTATTCCCGATTTGACCCACTTTCCTCTCGACGCGATGAGTTTGATTCCCACCCAATTGAGAAGGAGCGTACAGCACAGCTCCAATACGTTTCCTTCGCTTCGCCCCGGCGGGAGATGTTGCCGGCATTATCATCATGTTGTTTGACGTCGAGCGTCGAAACCATGTTTCGGTAATCGACGCAGGGTTGATGTTATCTGGTTTCGGAGTCTTTGGACGTGCACAGCTTGGGAAGTGAAGAGCATAAGTTGATGTGCGTGACTATCGAAAGCTGCCCCGGAAACCTCCTGCTGGCAATCGTGAGGCAGGCTGCAGACTGCTTCTCAGCACTCACGTTAGGTCTATTCGACACGGCTAATGCTGCTTTGGTAGTCATTATCGGACGACCGCCACTATCGGCTTAATCGGCTGGTGTCGATTGTCAAGTTTTCATAATTGTTCCATCCAACATTCACGTGGCGTTGGAGGTGGGCACATTTCAAGGGTGTTTTCGAACGTTGCCGCCTAAAAACTTGTCCACGTTTCTGGGAGCCAGCATTGAGCTGATTTGTTTTCAATTTCCGAATAAGACATCGTATCGTATCGTGGCAAAATAACGCAGCTCGCTGCAAGTCTGCGAATGTTTAAGCATCATGGAATAATACGCAACACTCGAACAATAGCATAACACGATGTGAGAGTCAACAAGACATATTTATCGTGCAATAAAAAGCATGCATCATGCAAGAAAAGCTGAAAATACTCAACTAGACACGTTACGAACGCGGAGCTTTCACAGCGTAACTAGCTCAGTTAGCTATCATAACTTTGATTTCCCGCCTGTACTGCCCTGCTTGTACTTCGGTTGTAGAAGGTTGGGGTCAGACTCACCGTTGGGGGGGGGGGGATCGGACATTAAGAGTGAGGGGCCAGTGGCCCACCCAAACGAAAACAAATCGACAACCGTGGACAACCGTGTTCGATCTGTCGTCAGCACGACTATCTGCTGGAATGTGTGACGTCATCCGTGCTAACGGAGAGTTCGATGCGAGGGCTGACGGGAAAGTTTTGACTTTGTCTTTCTTTTTACCTCTATTTCCTAACTTAACTTCACTCTAACGAACTACCTATAATATGGTATATGGATGTGTAGCGCCCGCTTTGGTATAACCATTTGTCTTACCCGTGATTTGGGTGCTTCTTTTCATTTCCATCTCGTTGCAACCTATTCCTGTTTCATTTTAATTGTTGCCTAAATGTTATTTTTATGGAAAAGGTATTTCTTTCACAGCTACTTGTACTGACATGAATGCCATTCAGCTCTTACGTGTGCTGACAACGTCCATCATCGAGACACGAGTCGCTTTGTTTCTGCTGCCATGTGTCACGATTAATTCAACGCCATTAATTTACTGAGCAACGCAGCCATTCATCACGCCGCTTATTGTCACTGCCATTTCCATGGCCACTTTTATATCAGGCAATCCAAAGTCCCTTCTAATCCATCTTGCGTCGCATTTCCCCCCAAACCAGAGACATGTGCCCAACTTTTTGATATTTAAGTCATGGAAGCTATGTCGGCGCTCAATACATGCTCAACATAAAACTATTCCATCGGCTTATGGCGTTACTCTGAATAGCGGCATGGTGTCTTAAAATTTGCGAGACAACTGGCGTACTATGGTATGAACGTGGCGGAAAGGGTGGTCAACGGTCATTGCCCTCGCTTTGTCGAAGCCCACTTATTTGCCCCATGGTGCCATGTGGAGCGATTGGCTTGCAGGGTGAGTTCCCAATGTCATACCCAACGCACCCGATGGTCCCTATCGTCCTAGGTCCGTCACTATTCCCCCGGTTCGTGGCAGATATTTCGAACCCCAATAATCGCTGGGTCTTGAAATTACATAAGCGATGACGAGAATGTCTAAAAATATTTCTGTAATTTTCACTGTTGCTCGCCTCTTTTGTTACAGTGGTCTTTGACCAGACGACGGGTCTCACCTGATTAGTTTCGCAAACAAATGCGGGCACTCGGTAATTAACCCGGGCAGACCATGTGGTCTTCAATGTTTTAATAGTTAATTTGAACTCAAAAACAAAAGGTTTCGGTTGTCGCGGCAGCCTTTAGACTTTAAGGTCCATTGTGTCTGAAAGCTTGTGCCTCTACTTCCACAGCATACGTTATGTGGAGGCTGCATTTTTCGTCCCACGCTTGTAACCTACCGAGCAACAGCATGAAACAGTAGATTGGGATGGAAAAGTGCCAACATAATTGTCGGCACACCACAAAATCCCAGCGATAGTCCCCCAGTGAAGCGGGTTGGTCACTCTTGTCTGTATACGCCTTACCTGGGTGCGTCTGTGTGTCTGTCCGTCCGTCTGTGTCTCGACTACCCGTTACCGATGCGGGCGTGCACGGGGCGACGTAGAGTGTTGAGTGGCGAGATGCGCCCGGCGGGCAGCGCGGGACGCCCACTGCAAGGTGCGATGCTTTCCCATCTGTGTTGCCCGAGCGACGGGGAAGATTAACCGCGCAAGGCCATCGAGCAGCCGTCCGAAACCGTACTCACATCTCGGTAACCACGGGTCGCAGGGACGAGAAACTGGCATATCTTGGTAGACAATTGGATGGGAAATTGCCTGGTACTAGCCGCACGGTCGCACGTGGCACCTGTTACGTGCGCAGTGGCAGTCATTGTGGACTTGCCCGTTTTTGTGTTTTTTACGTTTCATACCATATATCCGTAGCCAGGGAGGGTAAAGGCACAAATCCAGTTTCAAACTGTCAACCAATGCACCGTCTGCAGTTCACGTGAGCAATACGAGTTCATGCGATGCATAGTTTCGCCAGTAATCGGGCAAGCCGGAAATATCAGTATTTCAAAAAACTATGCCGAGTACAGCCCGCTGTCGCCTAAACTGCAGCCAGGGTCGGGGTGAAATGCACACCATCACACGCACTGATTCATTACACGTTGTTAACACCCACTGGCTCATCATCCTGTACACTATCCCATCCCAACATCATCTTTACCTGAAGGGCCGCAATTCCACACCGTGTGATTGTCAAGATGTCGGCGGTCGACCGGTCAACCGGCGCCGGCGAAAAGTTTAAGTTGGAAAAAAACACGGGAGCGCACGGGCTGGTTCGGCGGTCTGGCCGCCTGCCCGTATTTGTTATTCGTTGCAACGGGAAATGTAAGCCACAGTGACGCCCGAATGGATTACTTGAGCCCTCACTTTCAGATTTTTAGAGAAACCACACATAGCGAGTCACGAACAATTTTCGATGGACGCCACAAGAGCGATTATGAATTGCAGTAATTTTCAGCAAAGCGCACTGTCACAGCAGAACAGTGCGGCAACTGGCCTCACTGCGTGTGTTTTGGAGTCAACAGTGCGATAACATTGATATATTGCGGGAGCGTTGACACATGTGACACGCTAACACGTTGAACCAAGTGGCAGTGTCAAAATTACTGAGATCTAACACTGACATTGACAGTGGCAGTAAGAATGGTTTTCTTGTAGCTTTTGGAATGCCTTACAATACGCCTGCTGCGGCGGATATTTAGAGCGAAACACTTGACAGCTGGAGTATCGCTGATTTCGTCTCAGTGAGCAGATTGATGACTACTTACAGCACAATACCTCTAACGATGCTCAAGCATCATATATTTTCTGCTTTGGTTGTGGCTCACGACCTTCTTCGCATGACTGAGTGGTATAATCGGTACACGCTATGGCAGCATTTATCCCAAGTTCTAACGAATGTCATTTACATTGTTCTGAGATTGCTTCTTCAGACATCTAACAGGGGGTTCTTCAAGTATTTGCAATACTTCCCTGCAATAGGTAAGTCCCTGGTAGTCAGCACGCACACGACTCCCGCCCTGTATCCTGGCGGTCAGAAGTTGGATCCAACAGAAAGTGCCAAGAATGATGTTGAATGCGTCCAGAAATACTGGAACACAAATCGTCCGTCGAGAAAGTGCCATGAATGATGTTGAATGCATCCAGAAATACTGGAACACAAATCGTCCGTCGAACACAGCAGGTTCTCTCGCGCGTTGTCAAGGAGCCAGCTCCGTTGCTAAATAAATAGAGTCCAAATGTAGTCGCGTATCTACAAAAAAAAAAATGGGAGTGGGACAGCATCATAACCTCATGGCTTTCCAGGGAACCATGTAGTTGGGGAGCCGTGAAGGAGCAGGGGTGCGAAGTTATGCGTCTTGGTGAAGCAAGGGAATTTGCTCATGCGATTTTGCTCTGCATTGATTCGTGTCCATATTTGCGGGCGTTCGGCGGCCCGCCAGCCTCTGGGCAAAAGGCTTCCGTGTCCGTTCCGACGAGTTGCTCTGATTATCACCGTTTCGATGATAGTCCTTGCATAACGAACATAACAGTTCTGCGCTCCGTTGCCCCGTTATCTGGACGCTGAATAGAATCGTTGTATTGACTGTTTAGTTTTGTATTGCCACCACCAAAAAAAAACAAAAAAAAAACAGTTAATGCATAACACGGTTTCATGGACTACAAGCACATTTCTCCATGTACTGGTTTACAATAAATGCGTCTCAAGAACACCTACACAGGATACGTTTTAGGCCGGCCTGTCTTCAGTGAGCCATCTCTAGCTTGCCTCTCCGACCACCAACATTGATAGTTAGTGAGGCTGCTATCACTTTCGAAAAAAGACTGTCGTCAACGCATTGTGAAAGAGTGTGGCCACGGGAACAAAACGCTTATATATGATACTGGCGTGCATTAGTGACAACTTCCTGGCTGCATGTGGAAAAATATAGAAGCATCTTACGACCGATGTCTCAAGGCATCAGGAGCTAAACGTCGTCAGGACGCGCACAGCTAACATGCAGCTAATGCTCGCGACTCTGGGCTGGATAGGCTATCCGGTGAGATTCCGTAGGTCATCGGCCAGCGGGGCCGATCTGACCGCGGCGGGACGACACGTGCCAAGTGCGAGCCGCCGGGTCCGGCCCGGTGACCGGCCGGAATCGGCCTCGGCTACGGTGCGAGGGTCGACGTCGGCATCGTACTGGGACGGCCGCGCGCGCCGGCGCCACCGACCGCCGCGTCAGCCCTTCCTGCCACCGCCCCTGCCACCGAACCGCGAGCGGGAGGACCTGGCGGCAGAGGAGGGGCAGCGCTGTCACCACGGATCGGCCGCTGTCGACGGCCGACCCCGACAGACGGCGCCAGACCTGAGCTGTCGACAGCCGGCTCCGACAGACGGCGTCAAACCTGAGCTGTCGACGGCCGGCTACGACAGACGGCCCCAGACCTGAGCTGTCGACGGCCGGCTCCGACAGACGGCCCCAGACCTGAGCTAACGTGCTCTCAATGCCGACCGATGAATCTCGGGTCAACGCTCAAAATTGTCGGTTAACCTATAAGAACTGGACGAAGGCACTGTTGTGATGAGTTATCGGTAAGTCAATGCTGAGGCATTGGGCTACTGATTCAAGCATTCTAAAAGCCGTTTGGATGCACGGACACTTTCATTGAGAAATCGCAGGGAGAAAACATCAGCGCGCCGTGCTGCTTGACGAAATTTTGACATCAAGGCGAATGCGTTCGCAGCTGAAGGGAAAATCACAAGCTGCATGACTTTCTGTCCATATAGCGTTATCAAATAATATCAAAGCTACATACACATAGCTTTGAAAACAGCCTCACGCAAAATGATGTGATGATTTCATTACCAGAAATATCGTTTGGCATCCTACAAGTTCGCTGAAAGTAACTTCCTCGGGTACCGCGCGCTCCCGTTTTTGGGATCAGGAAGTGTGTTCGGACATTGTAAAGGAATATAACAAGCTTTCATTTTTAGGATCAGATGATGATTAGTATTGCGCATCACGTCGGCTTCTTAGGCCATTTTGCAATTTTGCCAACAAGAGTTTGATTTCTCCCCATTTTATTTGCTTCGATTGCTTCGATAGCGCACCCTCTGGCAGTTTGTTGGCAATTTCCTCCGTATACCCGCTCTAATGAAGCTAAACGTTTATCTTCCGGATGTTTATCCGTTTCATATGAGAGGGAATGTTTCGCATTTGAAGATGGTGAAGCAAGCATCAGACATGACGAAACAAGCTAACTTGTAAGCATTGGTGTAATTTTTAAGTGGAAAAGACTTCTCAAAACAGCACAATTTTCTGTGTGGTAAATATGCTCCTCAATGCATCATGGTTTGATTTCGTCATAGTTCCTTGCACAAGATTGATTGAGAGCCAGTTGACGACCGTAATAGCTGCAAATCGCGTTCATGAAAGACAAATATGGACGCATCGACAACGCTATTTTTCTTGGCCTTGACCACCGCAAGGCTTATGGAATAGCGGGACAGGGTGAAAAAGTACCTTTTTGGGTGGAAAAGTACCTGTTTTGTCACCGACGAAATTTGGATCCGTCTGAATTGTCACCTGGGGTCAAACCTCTCAGAAAACGTTGCAACATATCCCTAGATGCAATTAACAACAAAAAGGAACGAAGAATTGAATGCAATGCGGCATTACCGCCAAACATTTTCGTTTCGGGGTTTCATTTGCATTAAAGTTTCATTTGCTGACTATCAAACGCTGCATGAAGGTTGAGATTAACCTAATGGAATTATCAGATGAAGGCGCACTTAATATAACCAGCCAGCCTAAAGGCATATAGTTTCCTATTCAGTTGGGGGGGGGGGGGGGGGAGGGACGGGATTGTGCCTCAAAATCAGGCATGCAGTTTTCTATTTAAGTTATAATCTCTAGCCAACATTTTTATTTATCATGATTTGGGAGTTCAGCCCCCAAAAACTGGGTTTGAGGGAACTGCACCCCTGCTCCCAGCTGTGAAAAATTGCGTCAAATCTGGGGAGAAACTGTTTCAAGATCATTTTGGAGGCCGGCTCAGCCATTTTTTCTCCATGCACCCTCCCCCTTCCACTTCCATCGCTCACCCCCGCGTATTTTGCAACACCGCGTCCCTGTGACCCTACATTTACCGACAGCATGGTGCGACAAGCACCTGAAACAATATCACTTTTGTTTCCATGACGTCATCGCACAATCAGCTGAAAGTGTTGGCGACCTTCATCTTCGCATAACCACTGCCGGTGCAGAACTCGCACTTCCTAACACGATCCGAATTATTTAGAGCAAACCCCTCACAACGTTAACATCAGCAGATGCAGACGACATTTGTGACAGCCTCTAGCACCTTCATTAAGCTTTATATGCAACATGATGACAACTAAAATTGTTGTATTTCATGCCTGTCCACCGATCATCGCGCTAAGTCTGAGATGCAATGAGCAATGTGAGACGCCTACACCAGCGACACCCAGTCTCTCAACTCAAAGCTACTGCTCCTCTCAGCACGGGAAGCCCTGGATGAACCCTTGGCATGTGTCGCCCCAACGACCTTCGCTTACCTCTGAAGCCACAGCTCAGATATCCACTAACAATCCTAGATCAGCAGGGCTTTTTAGCGCTATTACCTAAGAAAAGCTGATGATTAGTTACGTTCTTCTTGCCAGTCAGCTTCTCGCCACATGAACACAACCAACATCAGCCCATAGCCCTGCTAGTAACTAGTGAGTATGTGAAGTGAACCTTGGCTGAAAAATATGTGAAAAACGCTGATCTGAGCGGTATTGGAAAGCACTGGGTCACCACTAATATGTGACGTCAGAACTGGTATAGCATAATTTGTAGTATGTTTCTGTCACCTTAGAACTGTCCTGATTGAAGCTACTATGTTTGGCAGTATTTGATGGCTCAATTTGCTCACACAGCTAAACGTCAACGTTTCGACATGTGCTCATGCGGCAAGCGTTAGCAATTGCGGACCAATACTAAGCTTGGAGATTCGTTGAGATGGAATAATCTTTTGCAGCATGGTCTTGTGTAATGAAATTTGTTTTCGGTTTCGCAACTTTGTTACCAATTGGTTCGCAGAAGCGCCAGTTTTTGTCACCGATCATATCCGTAAACCAGAAGCTCTTTGCGCCTCTGTGGCAGGATTTAAATGATATTATGACGTCATGAACGCCAAGATGACTTTGAAATACTCTCCCAGATATACCTTTTCCCATTTTCGCGGGCATGTAGCTCAGAAACTAAAGGGCTTAGGTCTTAAGAAGGGCAGGATTTTGCGCAGCACCGAAAGGTCTTCAAGATGGCTATTTTAGTTCAAAACCCCATACAAATGTGGAACACTCACCTTAAACGTCTATCGTCATCCGACCCAGACCACAATTTTAAACTCAAAGACCGGACATTCTTCGGAGGGGATGGGTACAACCGTACCCGCAAGGCCTGATCACGTAGATAGAATGAGGCATCGAGACTAAATGAGTTGATCTAAATTACACCAAAAAAAATATATATATATGGATAAGATATTCTGAAAGGCCTGACTTTGATATACTTCTCATGATGGTCACGACTGCAATAGTGAACAAGGTGGCCAACATGACTGCCATTATGCATAAGGACACATTGACACAAAAGCCTGAATATCTTTTAGGCTCAATTTTTTTTTGGGGGGGGGGGGGCATTGAGGTGAGCGTCCCATCCAAACAGCTTACCTTCCCCAAGAGCGGCGGCTGGAGCTACTTCTGCGAGAACTGCGAGAACTGCTCCCGGACCGACTGCTGGTGCTTCTGGAGCCGCTGCTCGTCCTGTACGGTTTTTTAGTGACCGGGTAGCTGGGATTCCGATTGCGGTTCACGAAGTCCGGCTTGCTCGTCGCGTAGTTCGGCTTGTGGGTGATCGGATAGGAGGGCACTTGCGAGCCGGGCCGGCCAAAACTGTTGTAGTTGTTGTAGTTGTTGTAGCCGTAGTTTCCGTACGCCGGCGCTGCTCCCACGGTGTTGAAGTTGGTGTATTTGCCGCGAGGATTTCCCAGGGCACCGAAGCCGCCACCCCCGAGGGCGCCAAACGAACTGCCGTAGCCACCGTAGCCAGGATATCTGTCGGACACGTGCTCCGATATAAAATGCGTTACAAATAGCTTTAGTGGAACTAAATTTATTCGGTGCATTCTCAGAAAAGCCGGTTACATGCTTCGTGAACCTGCAACCCAAATGTGCTCTTTTCGTCCGTCAGAAGGTTTTGGTTCCGAACGGTTTAGCCTGACAGTAGTGTAGGGATTTTCTTCGTGCCAAGCAGACAGCCTCAGTCAAGTCAAATCGGTCAAGTCAAGTCAAATTACTCGGCTCTTTAACAAACTGTTAGCTGACCTGCCCTGTCCTTCGGAGCAGGCAATTGCCTGCGTCTAGAAATCAAATCGTACTTTGTAATTGATCGTATCTAGTGACGCCGGTTTGGGAGTTAAGCGGCATCAAAACAATGATGGGAACGGTGGTGGCAAGGCCAGTTACAATGTCCACGCAGTGCGACTGGAATGCTTCCATAAACAGGCCATACCACTGCTAGCCACTCACCCATAGACCTTGCCGAGTTTCTTCTTGTTGCTGTAATGGCGGTAGAGGGCATACGCGCCGCCAGCCATCATCAGAGTGGTGAAGGATGGCCTGTGGAAGCCCATGCTGTAGCCGTGATGCCTCACGTAGTTACCGTATCTCTGGGAGTAGGTGCGAGAAGAACTGTCCTGGTAGTTTCGAGAAGCTTCCTGAGGGACACACGCAACAGCTAATCTCTAGGACGAAGGAGGTGACGTCATCGTAACGGTGACTGGTGTTCCGGGTGTCCGACTCTCAGGGGCACCACAACTCCACACGGACACGGAAACTCCACGGGCCGCGGTTGTGTGCCGCCAACTGTCGGCTTTTTACAGCTGCGTGTAACTAAATAATTTGTTGGTGCTCACGTCCGTCCACGCATCGCGATGTGCCCCTGTCGCAGTCTGTCTCTTTGGATGCATGCGTTGTTATGCGTAACAATACAGTTTGCATTTGTACAAACACATGTTTTCGTGGCATATCTGTCGTGGTCGTTTGAAGTGATCCAGCAAGTCAGGAAGAACGAAGTGTTTCACGTTTTGTCAGCGTTGCATGAAGCATTCGTGAAATGACCATTATTACGGTATCTGGCTGGAGTTTTAAGCGTTACCTAAAATTCCCACGAGATACCGGGCGTTTTTTTGTTATTGGTAAGCCCCATTATTGCACTACTAGCCTAATGGGTACACATCACTTTTGGGGCATTTCATGAAACACCAGAACATTCGACACTAGTTTTTACGTAGGTTATGTATGCAAAGGCATATTGGGCTTGGCGTTCGATTAAATCATCAGTATTTTTGGCTGTGTTTCCATCACAAAACCATTTGCACTAGCTCCCCATGCGTTGACCATATAGTTTTCAGCTGTTAAGGTTGGTGATTCATTCAAAAGCAAATGTTGAACAGGTTACCGACTCGCCACGGCCAACAACGGCGACCGCTAAGCCATGAGTAAGCGGAAGCCGTGTGTGAGCAGTCCCTATTTCAGATAAAATGACTCGACTGGTCCTGTGTCTGGACGGGCGGAGCGGTTCAGCACCATGCGCGGGAAATGTCCCAAAGCGCGTGCAACGTGCTTGTCTAGCTGTTACGATTCTCGATTCTGCGCCTTTTGCCAACGAGTAGACTGCGACAGACGACGAAGTCAATTAGTCGCACACCAGTAAACTTGCTGAAGACCAACTTTGTTGAAAGCACTTACAAGGCGTGGGAACCTTTCATTTTTGTCTCTGACTGAAGCTTGTGATGAATCGCAAAAAAACGACAGCTTTTCGAAAATGCAATGGAATGTTCCGTTTGAGGTTTTTTCCAAACGATTTGTGGAGATAACTGAGACGCTGTCATGGCCAGTGCAACGGACGATTTTGCTTACGCCTGTCTGGGGAAATTGCTTTACGCGCCATATAATGCCTCGACAAGGGCAGCCATGCAGCCGTGGATAACCGGCTATATGGCCGCTTCTCGCTTCTCGCCTCTTGCCACGTGGTACCTGCCAGGTCAGTCAGCCGCCTCAGGGACTCAGACCCACGCGCCTGTCAACGTCCTGGGGTCGGGCGTCTGACCCACTCAGAGACGGTCGCTGGAACTCGCTTTAGCATACATCTATGGGTATAATATATTCCATTGATACACTAATGAATCACAACCTTGGAACGGCTGAGATCCACCTGGTCGACGCATGAAGAGTTGGTGTAGTTAGTGTTATCCTATGAGCCGGGAAGCACAATGAACGATATTGATCATTCAATCGAATATGAAGCGTAAAAGAGCGATAAAAGACCTTATGCTTGGTCAAGTTAATCTCACTTGATACTTTCACTGGTCTCATGTCGCTTTCTGATTTGTATATATATATATATATATATATATATATATATATATATATATATATAGTTCTTGTTTTAAAGGATGACAAATTATGCACTACTGTTGGAAAACATCTTTTGGTACGGAGAACATAAATGAAGCATAACTAATTGAAGTAAGACGGACAGCTATTTTCATCTTCATACATGTAAGAAACACTTGTCTAAACACAAATATATCTATCTATCTATCTATCTATCTATCTATCTATCTATCTATCTATCTATCTATCTATCTATATATATATATATATATATATATATATATATATATATATATATCACCATTATCATCATGATCATCAACACCACCGTCATCATCATGAAAAAGGACTAGTGACATCTTTACGTAATGTCCCGCGACGTTGTAAGCCTTTCAAGAAACGTCTAACGTGTTCAGTCAGGTAGCAGCAGTGATCGTTTTATTAACGTCGTATGGGGCGCCGGTATCACATGAAAATCCCTTATTTCCCCTGAATGACTGTGCTTATGTCAAACGCCTCTGGCAAACTCATAGCAAAATATTTATAACGGAACAATCGATGACTCCGCTCATTGTTGACACCAGAACAGCCTGCGGTCGCATCATAGTACGCGGTCTCGTGAGCACACCGTTGTCACAGTCAAGACACGCGGTCATCGGAGCAAGGGGCGTACACAGGGTTTTGTTCGGAGGTTGCTGGATCTTGGGGGCACGGCTCGGCCTCCTGCTCCACCTTCCTGTGTACGCTCCTGGCCCAAGCACACTAAAACCACAGTGAAAACACCGCAAACGGCAGTAGGTCCAGGTGATGCCAGCAGTAGACCCTGTGGTTAACAGAACGTTGTGGTAAGCTGTGCGTTGTGGTTAGCTGTATGTTGGGGTAAGCTGTGCGTTGTGGTTAGCTGTATGTTGGGGTAAGCTGTGCGTTGTGGTTAGCTGTATGTTGGGGTAAGCTGTGCGTTGTGGTTAGCTGCATGTTGGGGTAAGCTGTGCGTTGTGGTTAGCTGTATGTTGGGGTAAGCTGTGCGTTGTGGTTAGCTGCATGTTGGGGTAAGCTGTGCGTTGTGGTTAGCTGCATGTTGGGGTAAGCTGTGCGTTGTGGTTAGCTGTATGTTGGGGTAAGCTGTGCGTTGTGGTTAGCTGCATGTTGGGCTAAGCTGTGCGTTGTGGTTAGCTGTATGTTGGGGTAAGCTGTGCGTTGTGGTTAGTTGCATGTTGGGGTAAGCTGTGCGTTGTGGTTAGCTGTATGTTGGGCTAAGCTGTGCGTTGGGGTTACCCGTGCATTAGTCAGCCGTGGGAGTGGTTGCTGTTCAATTCAGCCCTCTGCCAGGGCTACCAGCTCATGTGTGTATACGTACGTTTCCGTAATCCAGCGCCACTTGATCCGACCAGGGAGCGACGTAGCTCTTCTTTCCCAAGAGCAGCTCGTTCCTGTCGAAGTCTTCGTAACCCATGATCAGATATTCCCTGCGAAAGACACGTGTCTTACTTTGGTGATGTGCTATCTACGCGCTGTAGCTAGATTCCTTGCAGATTCCACTTCATTTGTTTCGTTCCGTTCTATATGGTTTCCGTTGTAAATGTGTTTGGTCATTCTTTTAACGCAAGACTTGCACTCACTTCCCAGACTCCAGCTCCGGACACTTGCAGGAGGTGTTGGTGCGGATGAACGTGACGTTGTTCTTGGTCTGCTCGACGATGCCGTCACGGAAGATGTCCAGCACGGTGACGCTCAGGATGGAGGGGAAGTGGGAGGGCGCGAACCCTTCCATTCGGGCCTTGATCGCTGCCAGGGGGTGCGTCACAAGGTCAGAGACGTGAGGGCAACACTCTGGTGAGCCCGCACACGGGCCCAGTATGTGCTGGCACGATTACATGATAGCTGTTCATTTAATAAACATGAACCCGTTTGTTTGAGCAGTTAGGGTCATAAAAAACTGCAAAACATAATGTTGTTCATGATAGGTAGATTAGTGGAGTGATTTGGCGCATTAGCATTGATATGTTGACGACATTCCCAGCTGTGGTACCTGGTAACCGATAAAATGGCAAAAAACTATAGATGCCGGTAAAATGATGTCAGCTTAAAATCAAGGGCACATGCAACAGGAAACGAAAAGGCCGAGCCGTTCAAGTGATCATCCGCCGACTACTGGCACGCTGCGTGTTTCTAATTTTTTACAATCTCAAAAATTAGTTTTGCCATCCGCATTCGAATAACATGCTGAAATTTCTGGCCCGAGAAGAATCCCTTCTAAAACCGCGCTGCTGGTTACGCGGCGATGCGATTTCAACAAGCGATCGCTCATCGTTCATTTACATGATGAACGTACCGTAGTCATAGTCCTTCTTGTCCATAAGGTCTGTTGTTGGCTTAGGCTGATGGTGCTTCTTCAGACAGTGGCAGTTGTCTGCGAACAGAAACCGGACGGTGACAGTCATCAGTCAACGAAGCTCGGGCAACGACAGGTGCTTAGAGGCTGAGTGATGCTCAGAAAATTGCCCAGTCAATTCTGCATGAGGAACGGGAGTGGCTTGTTTCAGCAAAGCCTGTGGCCGTTGGCCTTAGGTATCGGCTATTAATGTATGCCGCATGCAGTTCAATTCATTCCGGCATGCATCGACAGGTTCCAGACGCGTTTTGTTAAAAGCGTGAAAAAAGGACTTCTTACAAGTTTTCCGTTGCTTCTTTCGATAAACCCGTTTAAATATTGCATTACTTTGAGGAAAATTGTTGCACTGGTGCTCCGCCATTGCTAACACCGATGTCATTGCGCAGTCTGCATATTTGTACTTTTTGGAACTCATTTACCTTTGAGAGTAAGTTAAGATAGGCTAAGATAAGATAATCACTTGGCAAGGACCGTGATCCCACTCAGTCCTGCTACAGAACAATAATAGTTCATTGAACAGCTTGCTGCTTGAGCTTGCAGCCAAACAGAGCCTACCGTTTTCTCGTGTCATGTAACGTCATGATGCGGCCGCCCCAGGGAACGATTGCCCTTGCCAGCGGACGGCCGCCCTTGCCAGCGGACGGTTGCCCTTGCCAGCGGACGTTTGCCCTTGTCAGCGGACGGCCGCCTTTGCCAGCGGACGACCGCCCTTGCCAGCGGACGGCTACCCTTGCCAGCGGACGGTTGCCGTTGCCAGCGAACGGCTGCTCTTGCCAGCGGACGGTTGCCGTTGCCAGCGAACGGCTGCTCTTGCCAGCGGACGGTTGCCGTTGCCAGCGGACGGTTGCCGTTGCCAGCGGACGACCGCCCTTGCCAGCGGACGGTTGCCCTTGCCAGCGGACGGTTGCCGTTGCCAGCGGACGACCGCCCTTGCCAGCGGACGGCTACCCTTGCCAGCGGACGGTTGCCGTTGCCAGCGAACGGCTGCTCTTGCCAGCGGACGGTTGCCGTTGCCAGCGGACGGCCACCCTTGCCAGCGGATGGTTGCCCCTGCCAGAGGATGAATGCCCCTGCCAGCGGACGGCTACCCTTGCCAGCGGACAGTTTCTCTTGCCAGCGGACGACTGTCCTTGCCAACGGACTGTCGCCCTTGCCAGCGGACGGCCACCCTTGCCAGCGGACGGTTGCCCTTGCCAGAGGATGAATGCCCTTGCCAGCGGACGGCTGCTGGTGAAGCGCGCTCTCACCATGACAGGATGCCTGCCGCAAACAGAGCTACGGCGGGGCCAGTTGTTGAATGGCTGAGAGAGGTCCCGCACCAGCAACCGGTTTGCTGGCGGGATGCTGCATGCATAAGCGATTGGAGCAGACAAATGCACCTCCGCAGCTCCTCCGCACCTCCGCACCTCCGCAGGGCCACTGCGGAGGGCAGTCCAGCATGGAAAGGGCATACCTGGTGGACACGGAGGTGCCCGCTGCCGCGCTGCTCAGACACGACTCTGCTCGGGCAGGTTTTGATTAATTGTCCCGTAAGGCTTCACTCAAAGTCTAGCAAGGCTAATGACCCAGCTTCACACTATTGGTCGCCTTTGGCATAGACACAATATTTGCTTACCCTACAATTCCGGGAACGTGTGTCACTGCCCGCTTCGGTCTGGTGCTGCAATCACAGCAAAAATGATGGCTTGACGGTCCTATGTGCCTTATTTCTCCGGCGTCAATCCTGGAGCCTTATACTGTAATGCAACATAAAGGTGCTATGCGGAGCAGTCCGTCAGGCATTTGCCGCAGACAGGTCTGGGGGGTGGAGGAATTGGAGGCTGGCCCACTTGTTCGACGGTGTGGCAGTGAAGCTTGCCGGGAATCGAAGTGAGCTGAGGAGGCCGCTGAGCCGTCGGCTCTGTTTGCATATCAGGCGAGTGGATGGTGAGCATACATCACCATTCGTATCCGGTTCAGAGGGATGTACGAACAAAACCAAAGAATCGTTCTGAATTGCTGGTTTAAAAAATACTGCTTTGTTTTCTTAAAGATGTAGTTGTAGCCTTTGAAATTTCTGGGATGAGCGTCTTCGCTTAGTGGCGCTCGTTGCCTGAGTCCTGACACCACCAGTGGATCGTGAAACCCCTATAAACGGCATAATTTCACGTCGAAACTTAACGGGCCGCGACGCTTACATTGCCGTCTTTCCCTGAGGGTGGGACCATTTGACATCATCTGACCTTTACCGCACTGGCTGCTACCGGCCGCGGTCCACGCCAGCCAGGGCCAAATAATGAGCGCATAGGGGACTCGAACCCTCCCAGCCATCAACAGTTCAAGCAGAATGCAAGCGCTCTAACCAACCGAGCCATTAGGGCGAACGGTGGAAGTGAAGGGAAATATCACTGATTTTTTTAGGGGAAGCTTCAGTATTTGGGGAGAAACATTGGCACCTCCGGAATACGAAATAGCATTCAGAATGAAGCACAAGGAAGCATAAAAGCACAAAAATCAGATTGTCCAATTTTGTGTTCAGAATTGAGTCCGACTTCCATGTGGGAAGGGTGTCAACTCTACCACAATGAGGTCTTGAGATGCGTTTTTTTCATACAAACCTCAGTGGCAATGGGCCAGCAAAGAACTGACCTCTGGGTAAGACACAGTGGGCTCGTACTGACCTCGGTCATGATACAGCGGACTAGCACTGACCGCGGGATAAGACGCAGCGGGCTCGCACCGGCTTCGAGGTAAGACGCAGCGGGCTCGCACCGACCTCGGGGTAAGACGTAGCGGGCTAACACCGACTTCGGGGTAAGACGCAGCGGGCTCGCATCGACTTCGAGGTAAGACTAAGACGCAGCGGGCTCGTACTGACGTCGGGGTAAGACGCAGCGAGCTCCTACTAACCCCAGGTTGAGACGCAGCGTGCTCGTACTGACCTGAGAATAAGACGCAGCGGGCTCGTACTGACCTCGGGGCGTCAGCGTAGTGGGCGACAGACAGAGCGAGTCGGCGCCGTGGCGCGGCAGCAGGTCACAGTCGGGCCAGGCCTCCGTAACGTTGAACATGAGCATCAGGCCGTAGCAGCGCTCGCGCGCTCGTTCGCACACGTGGCGGCACGGCGCCGGCTGCTGCATGTCAGCCATGCAGGGCGGTGCCAGCGCGCTGCACAAGACAAAGGAGTAGTGGCCGAAGCAGCCCGAGTCCCGCAGGTCCTGCAGTGGCTCCAGCGCCTTGTTCACCTCGCCCTGCGTAGTATGACCGAACAAGTTGGGCAGCCGGGTGTCCTGGTACGGCATCTTCTCGCAGAAGGGCACCTTCATGGTCTCGCATTCGCGGGCCCGCGCGGCGGGCGCGAGCGCCACCAGCAGCCAGCAGACCAGCAGCCGCATCGCGGTGGGCGCCGAGATGCAGGGGAAGAGGAAGCGGCCTGGTCAGGGCGCGCGGCCCCACTGCCGCTGCGCCGCCGCCTGCCCGGCGCCGAGAGAAAACCGGTTCCGAGCGGAGAGGAGCGCCTATCAGAGGCCGATCGGCCTGCGGGGAGGGCCCGTGCCGCCGCCGCCGCCGCCGCACAGCCGCCGCCGCCCGGCTCTCGCGTATGCCGAGAGTGAAGGTCGCCGTCGCGAGGCAGGGGGGGGGGGGGGGGGGGGGGGGGGCAGGTGACTAGGCACCGTGGGGCTACCAGGAGGGGCGGCGTGAGAGGCGCGGACTCGGAACGCTTCCACGGAGCCGAACGTCAGTACTGAAGCCGTATCAGCGGTGCTGGACATGTGCTGAAGGTCTTAGAGGGTAATCCGGGGACTCCGTTGATGCTGGATACGTACGCATTGAAGTACTCTTATGCTTTAATGCCTATTCAATGCGTCCGGCGCGGTGAAAACGTTCAATGTGAAACGTTAGACGCATTGAATGCATCGAAAGCCGGCTTCAGTGGTGGGTTCGGCCAAACTTTGCCGGTCTTTGGCAGCCGACGCCGCATGCAGCCTGGGGCGGACAAGGTGCAGTGAACAAGATTATTGAGTGCTGCATCCCCAGTGCAGATATTGCCGGCCTGCGACTCATCTTGTGGTGCAGTCCACCGCACACCCCACTGTGGCAGTGGCGGTGACCTTTCGTCCTGATGAGCTCTTGGCCAACATTTCCCGGTAGAAAATCATCCATGCCGGCGTTTATCCCAGCTAGCGCGCTTCCCTTTCGACGTTCGCGTCAAAATGTTTCGAAAGGTTAACATATGTGGTGCTTTTGTTTCGTGTTAACTAAGTTTAAATGCCTTTTATAATCTGAGTCATTGGCTTGCATGCTGGAAATAAAAATTATACCCCAAATGTCCAGTTTTTCCGTTTCCGCGCAGTCACGTGGCGGAGACGAATTATCACTCCCATTTTCCAGCGCATTCTCTCCGCATTCTAAGACGAGATATTCCCGGCTTTAGTTTTTCCCTTCAGCGCGAACCAGAAGTACCCAGTCTTTTGTATATTCTCTATAAATTGCATCACATCATGCATGGCAATAACAACTTGCAAAAACCCACTTGAATGATATATCAATGCCTACAACCAAATGGATGAACTGCTACTTACAGCGTAACCATCATAACCAGACATATCTGGATGTGTGGTGACAAGCCACTACATCTAATGTACGGGAATACTGCGCGACGCTGGTCCATTCTTTTCGTTTTTTTTATTGGCGCCTTAACTTGACCACGCACCAATATCTCGCACAACGGTGAGAAAGAGCCAGTGTGACATGCTGTGCGCCTAACAAGTACCTTAACAGGGCGGCGTGTTATCACCAACAATCTCTAGAAAATGTGCGAACGTATCAAGCCGCGAGACCATGAAAATTGGAGGTTGCTCCGGCACGGCAGCCAGCGTGCTCAAACCGCGAGATTGCAAGTCAGCAGCAGCTAGCGTGCTCGAAGCGAGGACATCACCCCGGCACAACAGCCGCCGTCCTCAGATCAGTGGCCGGTAGACCTCCAGCGAGTGGTAGCCGAGGCAGTAGCAGGCGCCGCCCACCAGTACCAGCCAATACATGCACTGGTCTGCGCTGTAGCCGAACAGCTGGCCCGTGATGGAGCGGGTGTCCTGCATGGCGGTGTGCCAGAGCACAGTACGTCGGCTGTCCCAGGGCACGCGGCGCGGGCTCGTCCGCTCCATCGGCGAGCGCAGCCGGGTGGGCGCAAACGTGGGCGCTCGCCGACCGCGCATGGCCCGCCCGGCAGCTGACGTCATCAGGCACTGCCGGCCAGCGACGCAACCGTCAGCTGGGGCACAGACACGTGACCTGCCAGCCAGCGACACAGCCGTAAGCTAAGGCACAGACACGTGACCTGCCGGCCAGCGACACAACCGTCAGCTAAGGCACAGACACGTGACCTGCCAGCCAGCGACACAGCCGTAAGCTAAGGCACAGACACGTGACCTGCCGGCCAGTGACACAGCCGTAAGCTAAGGTACAGACACGTGACCTGCCGGCCAGCGACACAGCCGTAAGCTAAGGCACAGACACGTGACCTGCCGGCCAGCGACACAGCCGTAAGCTAAGGCACAGACACGTGACCTGCCGGCCAGCGACACAGCCGTAAGCTAAGGCACAGACACGTGACCTGCCGGCCAGCGACACAAGCCGTAAGCTAAGGCACAGACACGTGACCTGCCGGCCAGCGACACAGCCGTAAGCTAAGGCACAGACACGTGACCTGCCGGCCAGCGACACAGCCGTAAGCTAAGGTACAGACACGTGACTGCTGGCGACTCTGCCGGCCAGCGACACAACCGTTAAGACACAGACACGTGACTGCCGGCGAAGGTGTAGCCAGGTATGTCAGCGAGACTGACCATTTAAGCACATGCATCCGCAAATCCCACACGATTCGCGATGTTCACAGGAACAATCGAAGTTACGTAATTAGTAGTGTCTGTTCGAATGCTAATGTGCAAGTCAATCGACATAAGTGATCGCAGAAACTTTCCTGAATAGGCAGTTGAAGAATCTTCAAAGTTCATTGGTCTTGAACTGATTTCAGATCTTATGTTACAAACATTTCTATGCAAGTGACTGGGAAAAAGCATTCAGTAACGAGTCACGCGCTGTAGGCGATACTTACCACCCTTGTATAAGACGTCCTAGCGAGCATTAGCGGTTGTATTCACCACAGACATAGGAAGAAACCACTAGCTAGTCCAAAAGTTCAGTTCGTTGAGCTTTTCAACGCCAAAGGCCCAGCTGATTTGAATGTCCGGTAAACATAGTGACGCGATCACGCCGCACCGACGCGATCGCGCCGCACCGACACGATCACACCGCACCGACGCGATTGCGCCGCACCGACGCGATCATGCCGCACCGATGCGATTGCGCCACGCTGACGCGCGTCCACAAACATGAGTTAGGACTCAAGTCAAGACGTGAGCAAAGACTCGAGGGGACGCGAAAGAGGACTCAAACGTGAGAGAAAACTCAGACGCAAAAGAGGACTCGCAGTCGCGAAAGAAGACTCTCACAGTCGCAAAAGAGGACTCATACAGTCGCAAGAGAGTGTGCGAATTCGTTAAGGCATCGCATAGCGGACGTCCAAAGGGCTTGTCAAGTGAACGTCACTGGGCCTAGTCAAGTGAACGTCAGGGGGCCTCGTCAGGTAAGCGTCGAAGGTTCGTTCAGTGGACGCTTCAGGGCTCGTCAAGTGAACGTCACAGGGCTCGTCAAGTGGACGTCGGGCGACCCGGCTAACGGACTGGGGAGTGCACAGTCAGTGGACGCGAAGGGATAGCAATTCAGATGTCGAACATCAGACAGTCAGTGCTTTGAGCTGCGCGCGTTTTGAAGGCGGCTCTCTTGTGATGACATGTGGTGGCATTTAGCATAAAATGCCGTTGTGTGGAGGCGTGCATAACACATGGTTCATGACGGTGGCGAGGCACCCAGCAGGCATGAACACTCATCTATTGGACGTAGCAGCAGGCGCGATGATTCACCAGACCCTTAACCCGTGGGACATGGACCTTGTGAGCGCGGACAGCCCAGGCGCGCGAGAGAGCTTGTTCGGCGGCTGAGGGGCGGGAAACTCACCCGGTGGATAACGTAGAGCACCTGCAGAAGGAGGCAGGCGGCCATGGGCGCCTGTCCGAGCGATTGCCAGCGGCGCGGATGGTTCGTCAGGTCCAGCCACATCAGCGTGGCCGTCTGGCAGATCCGCAGCATCGCCAGCAGCAGGGCGGTCGAGATGAACGGCTGCCGACCGACACGTCCAGCGGCTCACATATCGGCAAGGCCGCAGCTGGGACTGGCTGGGCGGGCGCAGGCCCAGACAGGGCCCCGGGTCTGCCCTCTCCCGGTGTCGGGACAGGTGGCGACCGCAAAAACGGTCAAAATATCAAAAAATGAGCAAGCAATGGCTAAAGACAATTTACGCTCAGATTCAGTCAAGTTAGATCGTCACGCAATGAAGCCAGTCATGCCCGGGAGGTTTGAGCCAGCTTGTAGGCTCGTGCAGCCGTTGTGATGCGCATGCCGAAGCCAGTCATGCCCAGGGAGGTTTGAGCCAGCCTGTAGGCTCGTGCAGCCGGTGTGATGCGCAGGTCGAAGACAGTCAGGCTCAGGAGGTTCGAGCGTCATGCCCAGGAGGTTTGAGCCAGGCTGTAGGCTCGTGCAGCCGGTGTACTGCCCAGGCCGATGCACACACAGACGCGTCGTGGCCGAGGTCTCACCCGAGTACCGTGGATCCCCAGTCTCACCTGAGTGCCGTGGATCACCTCGCAGATCTTGGCAGTCTGCAGCTGGACGTAGGCGAAGCACTCTGGATAGCTCTCTTCGATGCAGAGGTGCATCAGATGGTCAGCTGTCTTGGTCATCATCAGATGGAAGTACTTGAGCGAGAGCGTGTAGGTGATGATGCAGTAGACCATTAAGTTGTCCAGCAGCAGCCGCACCAGACAGGTGCAGACGTATGTGGCCGTTGCGAGCGGGGGCGCGGGGCTGCAAGCCAGGTCTCGTCTGTTAGCCACCTCAGAATTTTTGCCAGTCTTTAAGTTAAAAAGAATGAATTGCGGCCGCAAGGGCAAAGGAATTAAACTTTTAAAAGGGCTTTCACTACGAGCACAGGGCACATCGAGAAAAGCAGGTTTAATCGTGGTGTTATTGACAGCAAGGAACACGCACAAAATTCACACACTTATCAAATTAAAAGTTATGTGCGCCAAACGTCGACAGAGATTCTCGGTAGAAAACGTTATCATACAACGTGGATGTGACCCTAAAGGCCGGTATGACGGCATCTCAAAAGACTAGAGTGCAGACAGGCTGGCCTACTCACAAGGGCTTCAGCTGTGCCAGGTCGTATGTAAGAATTCCTTCTCCCAGGAGACTGCTGAACAGAGAGATGACGTTGGTGGCGCAGAACCAAAAGACCATGATGGCTCGGTCCCGACGACAGAACGCCGCGAAGCTGCGCGACACCAGTTTGTACTGGCCCTGGTCGGTCACAGACTCATATGCCTGAACCGGAACAGAAATTCTCAGAAAACGCCGCAGCTCAGGGACCATCTTTGGGATGAAGATGGCTGCCGTCGAACAAAGGTACGTCATTGTACAGCGCCCTGCACTAGCACCCGTCAGACCGGACATGGACCAATGCCTCACATTCTGTTGTTCTCTCATCTCACACCAGCTGTCAGTCGACCAACCATCACACAGCCTCTGAGAAAGCAGCGGTCAAGCCGCAGTCAGGGCCTCTCACCTTACTGACGACCTGTGCTAGGTCAGGCTGGCGCAGGCAGAACCAGCAGACGAAGATGGCCAGGTACCCCAGCGCCCACAGCAGGCGCGGCACCAGGAACGTCCACACGAACGACGGGATGCAGAGGTACTCGGGCGGCTGGGCGGCTACGCTGCTGTTTGTCGCCAGGTGGCTGGAGGCCATCAGTCGGTCCAGGTACACCCTATAAGTGGCGGACACGACTTTAGGTCACGGCGACACTAGGTGACTGTAGCTCACCAGTCGGTCCAGATACACCCTGCGATGATGTACACCACCTCTGGTCATTATCGGCAGCGTGTGAACGATCCGGGCGGATTCGAGACCGGGGTGCCGGCAGGCTCGGGCAGGCATGCAGGCAGACTCCCGTGCTTGTGCAGTATACACCGCAAGACTCTTCCTTTAAATCACGCTAGTTGCTTTTTAAGGGTCTCATTAGTTTCGAGAAAGGTCACAGTGCAAATGTACACTACTGAGGAGCCAGGAGAACGGAGATGAGAGGAGCAGGGCGAGATGAGAGGAGCAGGGCGAGATGAGAGGAGCAGGGCGAGATGAGAGGAACAGGGCGAGGCCAGAGGAGCAGGGCGAGGCCGGAGGAGCAGGGCGATGCCAGAGAAGCAGTGCGAGGCCAAAGGAGCAGGGCGAGGCCAGAGGGCAGGGCGAGGCCAGAGGGCAGGGCGAGGCGAGAGGGCAGGGCGGGAAGAGCAGAGCGGTGCGAGAGGGCAGGGCGGGAAGAGCAGGGCGGGAAGAGCAGGGCGGGAAGCGCAGGGCGGGAAGAGCAGGTCGGGAAGAGCAGGTCGGGAAGAGCAGGGCGGGAAGAGCAGGGTGGGAAGAGTAGGGCGGGAAGAGCAGGGCGGGAAGAGCAGGGCGGGAAGAGCAGGGCGGGAAGAGCGGGGTGGGAAGAGCAGGGTGGGAAGAGCAGGGTGGGAAGAGCAGGGGGGGAAGAGCAGGGTGGGAAGAGCAGGGTGGGAAGAGCAGGGTGGGAAGAGCAGGGTGGGAAGAGCAGGGTGGGAAGAGTAGGGCGGGAAGAGTGGGGCGGGAGACGGACGCCTTCACGCACCGTTGGCAGTGTGCCCACTGCAGGGCGATGCTGACAAGGATGAGCAGCAGCGCGGCCAGCATGGCGAGGCAGGTCAGCAGACTGCGGCAGCAGGGCGCCCGCTCTGGCTGCTCGTCAGCCACGTCCGGCGGCGGCGCGCACGGCGCCAGGGCCAGCAGGCGCGGCCACGGGCTCACCATCCGGCACAGCAGCTGTGCCTCTTCGTACAAGTCATCCTCGGGGGTCAGCGGCCGCAGCAGCTGCCGTCCTTCCTGACCGGGGCAGAAGGGGTGACGTCATCACAAGACTCCCTGCCACCCCATCCCCGGGCGGCCGAGACTGACTGTCACCCTCTGAGGTCGGCAGCGACGGCAGACGGCGATCGCCCTGAGAGACGATCGAGATTAGTAAAGGTAAAGGAAGTTCGAGACATTGTGGTGTTCTTCAGAGCAACGCGCTTACAATGCATTTTCCTTATATCGAGCTGCGAGCATACAGATAAGTCCCCGTATTATAGCGATCGAGACGAACGCCGAGAGTAAAAGAATATCTGAAGCATCCAATCCTCATGACGAAATCGATCTTGCACAAAACCTGGAGCAAGAAAGCCAATCTAGATAACGCGCACAAGGTCATGAACTAACACATCTGGATCAGCGGTAAATATTGATGGATGAGCTCTTGCATATGTAGCGCTGCGTATAAGGATAAGAAGTGTCCTGATTATGAAATATCCCCGGGCGGCAATAGATAACCCATAATTGTTTGCTCTGAGTAGGGCAGCAAACACCGTGCGTCATCCCTTAGTAAGTTAATGTCTAGTTCACCGAGGTGATATCCATCAATGAACAATTTCATTCACCCACCGCACAGATTTCGCATTACACTCAACAGACGGAAGCCATTCCTCAGCTCACCACGTTTGTGAGCCAGACTTCCTTGACGTTGATGTGCGAGGACTCTGCCGCCTCCGGCTGACGGGTACGCCTCAACACCGGGGGCGGGAGCGGAGACGCGGGCGGGGACGGGGTCGGGGCGGCGCCGGGCGAGTCCTTCCTCTCCTCGGAGATCGGCGTGGACGCCGCCATGACTCCGCGCTGCATTCGGGCCCCGGAGGCTGGGGTGGAGGGCTGCGCGGGGTCAGGCGGCACCTCACTGGCGTCCTTGTCACCGCCGCCACCGCGGAGCGACTCATCCATGTCCCGGTCAATCCAGCTGCAGCTGGGAGGGGTGTCTCCAGTGTGTGCTTCTGTCGCGTCAAAGGTCGCATCACCAGTGGCGACGTCCGTTCTAGACGCCAAAAACGCCAGGTTTCGCGAGTTTTCAGAGAATATGCTGTCTTGTGCGAGCGAGACCTCTGGTGCGGCCAGGCAGGCTCGCGGAGCGGTGACGGACCCAGCAGCGGGTCTCTCCGGACACCGGACCGGCTGCTGCGCAGGCCCGCCGGCGGCCCGCGCAGAGGCGGCGGTGGCGCCCGGCAGGCTGCCCGTCCGCCGCGCACGGCCGCCGTCCTGCCGGAGACCGAGCGCGGCGTCAGTGCTGCCGGGCCGCCGGCAGCGCGGCCTTCGGTCGCTGTTGTGCACCACACGGCGGACGTGCTGACGTCACACGGCTGACGTCACGGCCGGCCGGGACCGGGCTCAATGAAGTGCCGTCGGCGTCGGGCGCTTGCTTCTGAGGCCGGCACCGGCGCCTGCGTTTCAGGCCGCAATAAGCAAAGCTCGTCTCAAAACTGGCGCAATGCGAGACGGATGACGCCTGGGTGTTTTCATCACGCAAGCGTTCTAGTTCGTTGGGTTACAGCAGAAGACAAGGTGCTGAACTGGTGTTGATGTTTGCGACTTGTTACCGTGGAAAACTTCTTAGAACCCGGATTTTCCAGTCGGTCTATGAAAATACTAAATACGAAATATGTAGCGCAATTCCTTCAGTCCTAGTTTGGACGCGAAAAATCTTGATCCTTTTCTTGGTCCTAGATTCCTGTCCTGGAAGTGGCAAATTCAAAGCCGAATAAAGCGTATGATTAGTCCCAGGCCTCGCCTGAAACTCGACATTTAACCGCCAACATATTCCACCATATCTGGGCTAGAAGGGTGCGCCTTCGCTGTTGTGGACCCAAGCCCCAAGTGTGACGTGCGCCGTTTCCGATGACCTGAAGTCCGCCGGCGAGTTGGCCTCGGCCCCAATCTGCCAGCGATCATGGCCGACTGCAGAACATGGAAGCCCTGTGATCTGTGGCTTCTGGACCGTGTTCGTCATTGGCAAAGTACCTACCCGAGCTGCTACCTATGGCATCGCAAGTATCACCGTCATACACAAGCGGCCATCTTGAAAGCCGTAGAAGCTGTTGTGACGCACTTACCTCTGACGTCATAGGTTGCAACTTATGGACAGCTGTTGGTAGTGGGGAACGTGGTCCTGGTAGTGACCCGTCAGCCGTGACCCAACCGGTCCTGCAGCTGTGCGAGGCGCTTTTGTTCGCTGTTACTGACCTCAGCACCAGGTGTGTTGGATCGCATCGTTCTGAACGACCCTGACAGATCATCCTGTAGCAAGTTGGCGGCGAGAGCCTCTTCGCATTCATCTTCTTCCGGTTCGGCCCCCAGTCTGAAGCGCCAGAGCAATTTTAGTCGCACTCAAGCTGATGAAGCAGCTTCCCATACCCAGGGAATTGAAATTGTCACCTCTGTAGTAACAGCCCTCGTCGCTCACGCTCCATGTTTGCAACATACTCTGCGGATGCACACAGGTCCCATCAAATTGAAATGCCATCAGACCGGACAGATCGCAGCACCTCCAGCAAGACAGGACAGCAATCGCAGCACCACCAGCGAGACAGGACAGCAATCGCAGCATCACCAGCGAGACAGGGCAACGATCGCAGCACCACCAGCGAGACCGAACAGATCCCAGCACCACCAGCGAGACAGGACAGCGATCGCATCATCCCCAGCGAGACAGGAGAGCGATCACAGCACCAGCAGCGAGACAGGACAGCGCTCGCAGAACCCCCAGCGAGACCGAACAGATCCCAGCACCACCAGCGAGACAGGACAGCGATCGCAGCACCACCAGCGAGACCGAACAGATCCCAGCACCACCAGCGAGACCGAACAGCGATCGCAGCACCACCAGCGAGACCGAACAGCGATCGCAGCACCACCAGCGAGACCGAACAGATCCCAGCACCACCAGCGAACCACCAGCGAGATAGGACAGCGATCGCAGCACCACCAGCGAGACAGGACAGCGATCGCAGCACCACCAGCGAGACAGGACAGCGATCGCAGCACCACCAGCGAGACAGGACAGCGATCGCAGCACCACCAGCGAGACAGGACAGCGATCGCAGCACCACCAGCGAGACAGGACAGCGACCGCAGCACCACCAGCAAGACAGGACAGAGCTCACAGCAGCAACAGTGGAGAGAATGGAAATTGCAGCGCCACCAGCGGGAGATGAAAAAGACCCGAGCGCCACCAGCGGTAGACAACAGAGAGTGCAGCGTCACCAGTGGCGAGACGGGACAGATATCGTAGAGCTACCAGCGGGAGAGGCAAGATATCGCAGCGCCACCAGCGGGAGAGGGCAGAGATTGCAGCGCGGTCAGCGAAGCAGGACAGAGATCACAGCGCCACCAGCGGGAGAGGGTGCAATCCGCAGCGCCACCAGCGGGAGAGGGCGCAATCCGCAGCGCCACCAGCGGGAGATGACGCAATCCGCAGCGCCACCAGCGGGAGATGACGCAATCCGCAGCGCCACTAGCGGGAGAGGGCGCAGTTGGCAGCGCCACCAGCGGGAGAGGGAGCAGTTGGCAGCGCCACCAGCGGGAGAGGGCGCAGTTGGCAGCGCCACCAGCGGGAGAGGATAGACGACGGTCTCTACCAACGGGAAAACAACAGAGACTAAAGCGCCACCAGTGGGAGGGAGGAGACTACAGCTCCGTCAGATGCAGGGATGGAAAATGCCGTTTGGCGTTTGGCGAATGTGGGTGCCATTAGAAGCCTGTCACAATGCCAGTCTCACCCCACATTCCTTGCTTTCTTGTCGTGTGCTTGCTTTTCAAAGTTAAGCAACGCGCCCTAATTTAGCTTAATGGTTGGAAATTTGAGCAGCTTTCCACCGAAATCAGTGCCGGAAGATGTCACGACAAATGATGGGAAACATACTGGGGCAAAGGGCGTCCTCTACCCGACAACTGAAATGAGTTCAGAGTTCTGGGAGAACCGTAGACAAAATCGACGGTGAATGTTGTATCCTGCAAATACAAGATCCAATGCTCAAAATCCAGATCCGGGACCTAAGTCTCGGCCTGACGCTAATCTGGAGCGCACGACCAGCCAACCGGAGAATGTATCGAGTGGCGCCGGACTTCCACTCCAGAATGGACCGAGCGCTTCAAGGAGTGTGGAAGACTCGATCTGGTGCTGTCGCTGTTCAGACACCAGCATAGATCCATGAATGTCGGATTGGAGCAGCCCACGCTTGGCTAGTACCGGTGCTGATACCGGCTTTTGGATGTATCCACCGTGGGGTCCAACGCCTTTTCTCCAGGTAGTAGCAGTCAGGTCGCGAATAAAAATACATTGCTTATTACAAATCGGAAATGGGGAGCATATACACAAGTCTACCGGAAAAATCTCAAAGCGCAGACAACTAAAACAGTTTTAGTAAAAGCCATGAATAATCACTCGCCATCGACCAAACCGCACGCATTGTTCTCAGAGGTCACCATTCCAGGCGACCTCTGAAAACAATCAGAGGTCATCCATTCAGGTGGCGCCTCACCTTACCTTCGCCGATTTCCGGCCGGTTTGGACCGAAGTTGGCCAACTGTATGAGATGATTTCCAATTAATCGATAATTAAACCACTGAACTGCCAATACGCGAGTTCGGGAAGCCCATGGCCAAAGTGGGCTGCTACCAAAGGTTTGACTGCATGGTTTTGGGTCCCGTTTGGTCGTCAAAGCGATGATCAAAGACGGTTTCCGGGACAGCGCGGGTTGCTGTCCTGGAAAACAGACCGTCAACGCTTGCAACTGCCAGGAGATAGCTGATGGTGCATCGGTCAGGGCAGCGCCGCGGGAGCCGGGGCACTTTCTCACTGTTGCGACAGGCTGTAGTCGGTGGGCTGGGCCCGGCTGGGGCCTGGCTGTGGCTCCAGCGGCGGGTCCGGCGGTGGGTCCAGCGGCGGGTCCGGCGGCGGGCCGCCGTATTCCAGCTCCACAGTCTTCCCGGTCCCACGCGACGCCACGGTTGCTGCGCTACGAGCGGCGCAGGCGGCAGAGGCAGTTCGCGGCGCTACGAGCGGTGCAGGCGGCAGAGGCAGTTCGCGGCGCTACGAGCGGCGCAGGCGGCAGAGGCAGTTCGCGGCGCTACGAGCGGCGCAGGCAGCAGAGGCAGCTTGCGGCGCTGCCAGCGGCGTGCCGCGCGCCCAGTCGACACTGAGGCTGTGGCGTGTGGTCAGCCTTGACCTCCGGGCCGCCTTGGCGCGCCCCCGGGGTACGGCCGGCCCCTGGTAGCTGGCTGCGCCGCATGGTGCCGGCCGCGCGACCACAGCCGCCGTCGTCGCCGGAGCTGTGCCGGGCTTGTGAGAGAGAGCTCCGCGGCCTGACTCAGTAGGATCGTGACATGTTTTTGAAGCTCGTTTTAAGCCTGACGCTAATGGTGGGGTCGGAGAGCCATTGCTAATCAGCCGTTAAATCGGCATGTGGAGGCAACCACGCCACCTCTGAGGCAGGGGACAGTTTCCTATTCAGTTGGGGTCCACAGGCCCCAAGTCGAGAAGAAAGTGGCCCAAATCTGTGGGTACCAGTTGATGGTACATTAACTTATTTTGCGAAGCTACCCCCTGATGCGTGGCCTGGGTTTATTGTTTTAAGAGCGGTACGTAAGGAGCATGGTCATCACTGACAACATTTTTTCGGACCACCGGCCTGAAGGGATGCGATGTTCGACAAACAAAATCGAAACAAAAAATGAAAGAGTGTGTTGCACTGGCGGATGTCATTTATATCACATGCACCAAGTCCTATCGAGCACAAGTACAACCATTTGAAATATCGCGCTGTATCTTTGCAAATCCCTCCCAGCCGTACTTTCAGCACGGAAAAATGCGCTGTCAGCTGGTCGACCGGAAAAATGGAAGAAATGATTAGCCAGCGTGTTGTGTCGGCAGTTAAAAGTCAGATCCCATTCCAATCGAGTGCATTAAGTTGCAATCTTTCAGTTCATTATTGGCATGTTTCCCGGGCGGCCTCACTATGGCCGTCGCTCTATGTGCAGGGAGGCCGCCCTAACTCCGCGCTGTCAAGCTGTGATTAAAACAAATTAGATTATGTCTATCAATGCCAGATTTACTTTGCTGACCTAAATTGCCTTCACATTAGAACCGTTATGGCAAGGTCGCACCTACCGCGCACGAGTACATGCACCCCGGAAGTTATTTTTATAATTTTTTTGTAGATCAGTGAATGCCAAGGTGCCATGTTTTGTGTGACGTTGACTTTCAAGTTGATTTTGACTTTGGCTTGTCGCATTACGTGCATCGTTATGATAGCCATTTTAATTTCTTTGGTAAACAAGAAATACTGCGGGACCGCGCTTAGTGTGACCTTGACCTTTGATCCTGAGGGTTATTTTTTTAAAGTGTGACGAAAGTGGATATCACGAGCATCAATACCATAGGCGACATTACGAGGATCAATATGACACCTATTCTGTTGGATTTCTTAGCTAACGAAGAATGTCAGGGTAACCAGATTGTGACCCTTTATTGGCCTGTGTAGGTCAATATCTTTTCACTAAATGATTTAGAGAACAATGGGATTGCAGATTCGTGAAAACCTTAATGATTTTGACCATAGGTGAAATCTGTGGAAATCTGAATTCGGTACTGATTTTGGATACGAGTACGACGCCAACTTGGTGGAAATGGGCGTACAAAGTGAGGAGAAGAGAGAGAAAACAGAGAAAGAGGAAAGGAAGGTAGAGAGCGGGAGGGAGAGTGGGAAAAGGGAAGGGAAATTGAGTCAAAGACAGTGAGATATATGACAGCGTTTGATGTGAACCTGGCTCGTGAAATTTAGCTGCACACGAGGACCTTTGGAGAATCTTTGTTCGTGCGATCGAGGATTTTACCCAAAAACACTGCTTTGCTGTTTTTTTCCTAGAGTTCCCTATTTTTGTGAGCTGGTACGTATCTATCTGGTGAATGGGTCCCTGGCTGGCCCTGTAGATCAAATCAAAGTGCATTTCTCTATAATCTCCCTACTTTGGTATTTACGACCATTTCAGTCGCCAATACGGGATACGGGGTGCGTCACATTTTGATCTACCTGGAAATGCATGCGCTGCCGTTTCACTGGACCCATTGTTAGCTGCATGTGAGTTCGGGTGCAGAGCGGCTTCGTAGTATCAGTTGTGACGATTAGCAGTAGAACGCCTAGAATACAAGTGTCTGGCGTGAAAGGTTGGGTTTTTTACTTCAGCTTACCTGAGGCGTCCCATCGGGACCATGGAAGCGTGAAAATATATCAATTTGTCAGCAAGAATGTAGCCACTCCTTTACCGTACATTTTGAAGATTTTAATTCAGCCAATTTGTCTATGCAGAAGGGGCCGCAAATGAGAAGCGGTCGCAAATCATGGGCGTAGTAACGGGGGGGGGGGGGGCAGGGGTGGTACGCCCTGTTAGGAAAGTTAACTGCCCTCCCTCCACTGTTCAGATTTAATTTGCGTTTAGCTTACTTTTGCACTTCCATTAACATGCATGTCGATTGCCTAGTGCATCAGCCATCCTCTTCAAACCGCACTTGACACAATCACTTCATGTAGGTAAACGGCAGGGCCTTATCCTGTCATGTTCGGCGAACGAATATATTTAGGGGCAAAGCCGAGGTTCCGCAGTGCGAAAGGCTCCGTTCTGTCTTTTTATATGGCATTGGTTCTTCTGCATGGCTGCTTACAGTCCTCTCAGCATAAGTTCATGGTGTTCAAATTGGCATGATGTTTCTCTCTAAGGGCCTCCGGATCGACCAGGGACCCCACTCTTGTGTTTCCAGAATGGCATCGCGAATACACCCTGCGCTCGGACGGAATGGCCCTTCAGCCCTGGACCATTGATGGCAATGTGAACCTTAATGTTCTTCTCACGTGCACTTTGCCGAGAAAATGCAATGTGCCTCGAAAGTCTTGAATAGAGAGCATCGAAACGAGGTCAAAAATGAAAAAGGCCAACCCGTGATGGCCTGAGACCGTTCATTCTTTTGAAAAGCCGACAAGTGAAGCAAATAACACGCAACGGTCTTTAGACCTTTTTAGACCTTTATCTCTCGATCTCAGAAGCAAGAACAGCGATGGCCGGGGTTGCAGTCTTGTAAAACCGCACGGTGTTGGCCGCTGCGGGTAGCCCCAGGCGGTGGGCGCCGTGCGCATGCGAGCGGCTGTTGTGAAATCATGTTTTCGAATTTCTTTCCATATAAATTTGAACTATTCAAACTTCAGTCTGGGGCGCATGTTTTTCAAAATTTAACGAATTCCTTTGGTCAAATTAACAGTTAAAGGGATCGTTCCACATTTATATGAGGTTTTGAACTGAAATCATCATCTTGAAGACCTTTTGGTGCTGTTCACAATCCCACCCTTCTTACGACCAAAGAATTAGTTTTTGAGCTACACGCCCGCGAAAAGTGTGGGGGGTATATTGGGGAGAGTATTTCAAAGTCACCTTGACATTCATGACACCGTAACAGTGTCATCCAAATCCTGTCATTCCTTAAGCCATGCGGTGATCAAAGCCAAGAAAGATATAATTGTCGAGGTGTTCATATCTGGCGTTAGCGAGCGCGATTTCCAGATATAACGGCCATCAACGGACTTTTCATCAATGATGTGCAAGGTGTCATGATGTTGTCAAACTATGATGCGTTGAAGATCGTGTTTACTTAACAGAAAATTGTGCTGTCTAGAGCAGTCTTTTCCACTTGAAACATGGGCGTAGGGACGGGGGTGGCCAGGGGGCCATGCCCCCCCCCCTTTCAAGGTGGAGGCCGGCAATGCCCCTACCCTGCCCCCCCCCCCCTACTTTTCAGATTGAGGCTGTGCTTAGCTTGCTTTTGCACTACATTTAAACATATATGCCGATTTACCTAGTTCACCAGCCATCTTCCTCAAGATGTGTCATCTTTTTCGGTTGCTTATTGGTCATCGTTTAATGCCACAGCCGCAGGGCCGACCCCACGCAGCCTAAGGAGACTGCAACGCCGGACGTTCAGACTGTTGTTGCTATGACTTGCAAGCGCGTATGTTCAAAATCATGTTGCATAGTTTTTCATCAGCAATCAATTCTGACTGAATTTTGAATACTTTAAGACTCTAAGACTAAGACATAGATTGCCCATGTTAATACAAGTTTAGGACCCCATTTCATCTACAATCTATGTTCAGGGATTCCTCAAAATCTCTGATGAAAACGCACAAAAAAAACACGCAACTGGAGCCTGTGTGGCAATTATTGGACCACCTTTGGCGATCATGGATGCTGTTGCGTCATTGAGGATTCCTGTGCTGATCCGGGGCCAAATGCGCGGGTCGGAAGGCCTCCCGTGTCAGGGAGGGGAACAATGTGATACGATATATCCACCTAATGGCCTCCGGATGGACCAGGAGATCCCGTCCCGTGTTGCCGAAACGACAGCCAGAAGACACTTCGCGATGGGACGGAGTGGCCCTCTAGCCCTTGACCGGAACCGGTAATGTGCCCCTGGTGTTCTACTCAAAGGGCCCCTTGTCTGGAAGGAAATAAGGGGTCGCCTGATTTCTATAGCTAACTGACGTAAAAATACAAACAGAATTGATTTCGCGGTAGCTTCTGGTTTGTTTTTGTTCTAGCTACAATGTAAACAAAACAACAAAACGAAGAACAGTGCCCCTCCTTAACAAGTAAGCTATATCCAGCGACTCCGTTCGGGGGGAGGCCTTCACCATCAGGGGACTTTGTCAAACCTGTGCCCCGCTTGGCAAGGCTAGTTCACAAGTGGCTGTACCCGGCGGTTTTGCTTTTGGGGTGCCACCATCAGGGGGGGGGCCTTTGGAAGCCCTGTGCCCCCTCCTTGGCAAGACGCTGCCTACGCCCCTGCTCCCCCCCCCCCCCCACACACACACATACGAGAGCAGATCAAGCCGGCTACGCTGAATGGGCGGCAAATTGGTGCCCGGTAGATCAATTCATGCCTACGGCAGGTAGGCTCACCTAAGCCAAGTAAGGCTTCCCGAAAGCTTGTTTTCTGCTGTGTGTTGTAACGCAGGATAATTCGTAAATTGATGCTGGTGCAAGCGTTCAGCCCATGTTTTGCACGCCAA